ATATATATACACACACGTATATATGTACAAAAATGTCATATGTCGTGTCGTGAGCTCACTTGGCCCGACTCAAGTCCGTCTCAGGCTCGGCAGGCGTGGCCGGCATCTCCAAGGTGATCCTGGCCATCACCAAGGCACAGATCACGCCGAACCTTCACTTGGAAACCCTGAATCCAAACATCGATTTGGGTGGCTTCAACACGCTGATGCCCGATAAGCTCGTGGAGTGGAAGAGCGCCAGCATACGATCCGGTGTCTCATCCTTTGGCTCCTCGGGTATAAAGACATATTTGTGGACATTATATATACGGAACGAAATATTTATATACATAATATAGGTACACATATATAGATATGTATGTATATATATATATATATATTTATATGTATCTTCTTGAAAAGGGCTGGTGCCAGTTCAGAGTCAGGAAGGGATCAACGATGGCTGTGCCGTTGATTCTGCTTGCTGTAACCTCACCGTGTTGAACTTCAGCTCTTTCAAGAACCGAAATTTTGTAGCGTGCTTTCGTCTCAGCCAAGGCTTCTCCGGCACCAACGGCCACGGCCTTATGGAGGCGATCCTCACGCAGCCGTCTGAGCCCAAGGTGGTGAAGCCCATGCGCTTTGCCCGGAAGGTGCTGAAGCCCTGGAGGGAGTGGATGCAGAAGGTGGTTTATTTTGAAGAATGGGTGAAGGCCGACTACAGCATGAGTTCCCCTCTTGATGGGAAACTCCTGCTTGTCACGGATGGCGGCGCGATGGCGGGTTCCCTGACTTCAGCCATGCCCAGCAAGCCGGTAGCCGTGACGGAGGTGGGCACGGCAGCTGACATCGGCGAGAAGATGAAGGGTGCAGGGACAGCCGCAGCTGTCTTTGCGCGCTGCTTGGAGTCAGGCAGAGCCGAGCCCCTGCCGGGCTCACACCTTGAGGAGCTGGTCGCCTTCTTGCAGGGCGCCATTCTGGCGGAGCTCCCAAAGTTGTTAGTCGTGGTGACACGTGGTGCATACGATGCCAAACGAGAGAACTTCGATGCGGGCGCCTTGATCTGGGGCTTGATCCGCTCGGCGAGAATGGAGATGCCTCGTGTTACGATCAAGACCGTGGATGTTGCAGTCGATGCAAGTCCCGCAGATATCGGGAAGGCCATTGCAGCCGAGCTGCAGGGACCAGATGGAGACGTGGAGGTTGCTTACACGTCTGAGGGAAGATGCGTTCCTCGCCTGATGGAAGCCCCTCAGAACGAGGCAGTGGCCATGCAGCGGCAGGATGCTATGAGAGACTCGGACTCGGCTGTGGACGTCAAGAAGGGCGTTCAGATCGTGACGGGTGGCTTGGGCGGACTCGGCTCCTCAGCCGCAAACCAGAAGAGTAGCCACCTAGTGACTTTTTGAGCGATTAAGCTGCGTTTTCTCATCGTAAGGATTGGTGGCTGCAGAGGAGCTAGCAGCACTTGGAGCACCAGGCCGGATCACCCTAGTACTACTACTACTACTACTACTACTACTACTGCTACTACTACTACTACTACTACTACTACTACCACTACCCCTGTCACATCCTTTCACTCAAGCATACTCAAGTCAAGAGTGTATGGAACAGAGTGCGACATCCTTTTCACTTCTGGCATGCGGTGCTCAAAGTATACACTACAGCGGGTGGTTGCATGTCACAGGAGTTGATAGCCTACAGTGGTATATCAGTGATAATCACTATCTGTCATGAAGACTGCTGTAGCCTCTGCTATGCCAGGTAAGCTGTACAAGTATACAATGCCCGAGACCGTAAACCCTAAACCCTGAAGCCGAAGCCTGTACCCTAAACCCTGAATCCTAAACCCCTAAACCCTAAACCCTAAACCCTAAACCTTAAAAAAAACCCTGAATCCTACCTCAGAGAACGACGGAGGCCTCCTCCTCACGTCCCGCAGCGGCCGGGTTGCCGAGGGTGCGCAGCCCAAGAACCAAGCTGGGGGGGGGTTTTTTTTGGGGTGCAGGCCAAGTTTAGGCGTTTCGGTTTCAGGGTTTAGGGTTTCGGAACACTAAACCCTAAACCCTAAACCGCGGGGCTTTGGGTTGCAGAGTTTTCGCGTTTTGACAGGCTGCAAGGCGGGCCTTTGGGTGTGCGAAGGCAATCATTGGGGGGTCTTCGGATTTCGGAGTTATGATTTTTGGGGCTCAGGGGACTTTAGTAAGGTTATTCCGTTGCTCGTACCTTGCTGGACAGGGTGGCAACCCTGTGTTGTCAGCTTTTGGGCCACTCAGAGCATGACCCACCCACCGAATTCCCCATCCTTGACTCGACTAGACTCTGCTTGTCGGGGCTCCTTAGGTCAGAAGCGTCTGGAAGAGCAGCTTCGAAAGCTGCAGGCCTTGCCGGGCCTGAGCCTTTACTCAAAGATCCTTTGGATACGAGCTTTCGCGATCTCAGCCTGAGGGCTAGCACGCATAGGTGCACCTTCCATGTGCTGGCCAGCCTAGGACAGTGCAGCTGAAGATCTGCAATGCCGGCGAAGCAGGAGATGTCGCCAAGCTCGTTAAGGAGGCCAAAGATGCGGGCGAACCCGTGCAAGGCCTGCTTGTAGTGCAGGGCTGACCGTGTGACCCATCAGTTGAGTACTTTCAGGCGCTGAATCTGAGAGTGCTTCAGGTGTTGTGCATGCGGCCGGCGTCATGGATCGTTGCCCTCTGCCGGACCTTGACACCGCGCATCTGAACAAGGCAAGCCGTGGAAAGACCCCCGGTCCAGACCTCCTGTCCCTCGCCCCAAGCAGCTTGCAATGGTCGGGTCCGGAGGTGCTGGCTCCAAAGGCCAACGGCGCATGGCACTTGCACAGCGAGTGCCCGGACAGTAGCCTCTTCGTTCTCTTCAGCTCCGTCTCCGCTATTGTAGGCCTGTGCATCCGTGAGTCCGTACGCCGTATGCTTGTGAGCGGTTTAAGCCCTACTCGTACTGTAAGCCGTGTGGGAGGCCTTGCCGGCTCAGCCTCCTACTCTTCTGCCAATGCGTACTTGGATGCCTTGGCCAGCTGGCGCCGTGGCGCTGGCCGCTCTGGCGTTAGCCTTCAGTGGGGCCCGGTGTCTGAGGTGGGCATTACCGCGGCAGCAGGCAGTGATAACTTGGAGGCCATGGCCCTGAAAACGCTGTCGCCAGCGCAAGTGGGCAGCGCCCTGCGCCTCTGCCTCGCGGCCCCCACGCCTCGTGCCGAAGTCATGTTGGCCAGAGTCGACTGGCCATCCTTCATGCGAGAGATTGGCATGGAGATCCCGCAGCTCATGGATCTGAAGTCCAAGGAGGAGTCTGCAGGAGCCGGCAAGACGGTTCAAGGTCGGGGAGCAGCGACCCTCCCCCTCCCGCCACTTCGAAAGCGCAACCGTTCACAATCCTTCCTAAAGCTCCCTTTACAGGTGCTGGAGGCGCTTTGGCGCAGCTGCCGCTGGAGGAACGCCGCGGAGAGGTGCTGAAGTCCATCAGGGCTGCGGCTTCGGGCATGGGCTTGGAGACCTGGCAGGACGTCTGAGTGCGATTTTCAGGTCTGATCGTGACCTTGACTGCCATCCCTGCTGGTCTTGTCACGATGACTTGTGTCTGTAGAGGGTCTTGGGTCAATTCTTTTGTTTCGGGATGTAGGTTGTAGCTGTCGGGATTAGTTCATCAGGAGGGCTTGAAACTTTAGGCTGGCCGAAACGCCTCGACGGCGGCGGAGGGCTGTACTGTTCAGCATATCAGTGAGAGTGAGAGCGAGTGGGGCCAGCCAGCAGGAACGAAAGACAGAGCAGAAACCAAGTAAATCGGTGACCGGACCCAAGAGAGAAAGAAAGAAGCCAAGGACATGGACGACAACACGCCTCTCATGGAGGCTCGTTGCCAAAGGTTTCGAAACTCAAGCCAAAAGCCCAAAAACCCAAGATCCAAAACCCTATAGCCGTACCCTAGACTCCAAACTCCAAACCCTAAGCCCCAAGCCGAACCCCTAAACCCCTAAACCC